ACACAATAGAAAATAACAAACTTCTTTGTTTTTAACAAAAGTACACCTCATGAAAAAGTTAAAGGAAACCAAGATCATGTAGAATCTGCATTTTAGAACTTCTTTGATTAACATTATTTGCAAAACGGATGAATAGAAAAAACACAGGAATCAGTGTCATGGCATATTGAAATCTACTGGATTATATGGTCGTTTGGTTGTGCACAAAAAAGCATGATTTCCTATGGAACCTAGTACAAATCAAACAACCCACGTAGGAAATATTCCAAAGGATCATAATCCTCCAAAATTCCTATACAATTCCTTTGAATTAAAGGAGGCCTAATAATGTTCCATATTCTCAGTCCTTATAAATGTTTACTTGGGATGTTAATTTCATTGACTGAGTTACAATAGCTTGGAAGTGTTGATGCTTGACATTCTCAAGTCTTATAAACATATCTTCTTTTACCCTCTCAAAAATATTACTAAGATTTATTTATTTTTGATACAGACCCTTTGCGCTTACTTGTGGAGTACCAAAAATATTAAAATATATAGAATGATTTTTTTTCCTTTTGATGGATAGAAGTAATACTTTCACACTCATCAACTACACCCAATAACTTATCCGTCGCAGAAAAAAAAACAGCTACACCATAACTCATAGTGATATTTGTGTGAAAAATATGGCGAATGTCAAATAAATCACTATAAGAATCAATGGTGCACATGTGCTAAAGAAGGGATATCATTGTGAATAGGTGATGTTCACCCATTCAACTACATACCCAAAAAAAACCTCGAGGTGTCCCGAAAATACAACTCCTGCGTACGTACAGATAAAACACCTCTCACCATTTCCAATATTCTGTGTAAACAAATCTGCACATATATACCAGCTAGGTAGATATAGCGAGCGTAAGAATCAGGAAGATTAACAATGGGGCTTATCTTGTATGTTTCGCAGGTGGTACACATGCTCAGAAAACCAGGAAGGTCAGTGACAGGAGCCTTACCGGTGATGGTGTCATACAGGCAAAGAAGCAGTACAAACCTCGCAGGATTCTGATGGAAGACAATGATGGCGAGCAAGATGCCACCACAGAGAAGTACGCCCAAGCGGACACCCACTCCGGCATCGCAACGGAGGCCAAGGAGTCCGAGTACACCGGCACCCTCCCTTTCTACGCCAAGACGGCGACTCCTTGCAACATTCGCTACAGCTACATGGCAAGTTCTTTAGCTGGTTCAAAATCAAATCTATACTCTCTAGTTCAGATAGATATGCACTGTGAACTTATAGTGTTTGTTTTGGCTTGGGCCTCGTGTAGAACATCGGGAAGAAGTTCTGCGTCATGAACGGCATCGCGACGAACCGGCTGATGATACTCAAGGACTCGGGCGGGAGGTCGTGGCCCGTGAAGCTGACGCTGACGAGCGACCAGGCGCGCATGAAGGCTGGGTGGGGCCACTTCTCCGGCCACCATGGGATCAAGGTCGGGGACCTCTGTGTCTTCCACCTCGTCGACGAGCACACCTTCAACGTCAGCATAAGGCGGGCCGAGTAATAATAAAGTGTTTTGTCTACTGGTGCTCTGTGTGGGATGTGTCTTTTTCCATACTATCTTGGATTTGTCCCTTTAGCTTTGGTAATAATAATAATAATAATAAAGTGTCTCGGATTCCAAACAGCATGCATTTTAGATGTAACCACATACACTACTGGAAACTCGCTGACAAACAGAGTAGCAGCTGAAACCATATGAGGCAGGTGAATGAAATGGAACACAATGAATTCATATCAATGATCTCAGATATGTAAAAGTGCCATTAGCATGGAACAAGAATGTTACATTGCTATGTGCCATACAGGACTAGTTTATACTTCCACAGACACATGATTTCACCATCCGAAGACCATATGCAGTCAATGGAAAAGAAGCAAACGACATACTGTGCAACAAAAAATAATTTGGTGATGGTTTAAGTTAGACTATCAAAATCTTAAGAATAGGCAGCAGCATGCCTGTCCAACGACAAATCTACAGAGTAGGCAGCATAGTAGAAACACGATTATGTTGTTAATGTATCTTTCATTGGCATACATATTTTCTTCAAACGGCTTAATGCTGTTACATGATGTTTCCCAAAAAAAGATTATTTTTCTGCCGCTTCACAAGAATTAAACAACAAAGCAAAAATGATGAACAAATGGACTGTTGTGTACTAAGTACCAATATTTGCATTTTGCGATCTTATACTGCAGTGTGCGCATCATGTCTGGAGCAACAGGATCCTGATCAAATCATCACACCGATCACCTAAAAGAGGGGGCAATTAGCACTATGCTTCACACAAAAATTGAACTCCATGACAACGATACGTATTCACTGCGTTAAACAAAATCTATGATTGCAAATATATTATCCAGAATTACCTCTATTGAAACTTTGGAATGCTAATAATCACTTGGATTTTATCAGCGCCATCCAAATAATATTCACATCCAAGGTGATGCGTGGACCAGGCAAAGATCACTTCCTGCGTATACTGCGCTGGCATCATGACCACTTGCCAGCTAGTGATCACATGTTGCATCTTCTCCTGCTGTATAATTTCAAATGATGCTTGGTTCTAAGGGTGACAACGCTATTACATACTGCAACATTGCCAGCCAATATGGTATCTCCAAGAGCTGATGTATAAGAGTAGTAACACCCGTCAACAATAGCACGATCCTACTTTCCTTCCTCCAGTTTATGCTACAAGAACTGGATGTTTGAAATTCATCTCAATGCAGGATCATCTCCAAATTTCAGTTTGTCTGCTCAATTGATCTTCTCGATTCTGCAGGACCACCCAGTGAAGTTGAAGACTGTTTTCCTTGGACTTGGATTATGGTTTTAACAGCCTAGCCATACGTAATGCTGCCCGAACTTTCCTCACGTCATTCTGAAACCCTGCACTACGAAGGCCAGCGATGACAGCACGCTTTGCAGATGCAAGAACACTGTTCCCTTCACGCAAGCAGATCCGCAAGAATTTGGATGCCATATGATACCTACCCACCTTACATAGACCATGGACTAGTGATGTGTAAGTAAAATCATCCTTCAGTTTCATGTTGTGAAGTAATTTGATGGCTGCATCCACCTCATCAGATTTGCAGAGTGCGTCCACCAAGCAATTGTAAGCAACAATATTTGATTCCATGTCCCTTATCTCCATGTAACATAACTGCTTATGTGCAGCCTCGAAATGCCCCATCTTGGACAAACCATTAACCAAAATTGAGAATGTGTACTCATCACTCTCCAGACCACCCTCTTCCATCATACTCAGCAGCTCAAACGCGTCATCCAGCTTCCCTTCCTGGAATCGCAGGTAAATCAGCGTATTATAGCATGCACTGTCAAGACTGAACCCACTCCGTATCATTAGCTCACTGTAGGTATTGGCTTCTTCCATCCGTCCCTTCTTGACTAACGCACTAATCACCGTGCAGTATGGGAAGAGATCTGGAATGTACCCTCCGTCAAGCAATGACAAGAAGGTCTCCAGCCCCTGATCAAACCTGCCATACGTAAAGCAGCACTTCATGACCGTCGTGTAAGTGACGATGTTCGGGGCATGCTCGGTCCTCCCAAGCTCCCTGAGGACCATGCGGGCATAGCCCACCTTGCCTGACTTGCACAGCCCATTGATCATTGTGTTGTAAGTCACAATGCCCACCGGGAGCCCCGTCCTCTGCAGGTACCTGAACATCCTGTAGGCGTTCGTCGCGTGGCCGAACCTGAAGAGCCCATCCAGGAGTGTGTTGTAGGTGGTGGCGCACGGCGCGACGCCTTTCTCGGCCATATCGGCGAACACCCGGTAGGCATCCTCTGGGTGGCCAGACCGGAACAAGCAGTGCATGAGCGCGTTGTAGCTCCAGGCGTCGGGGGCGACCCCCGCCTGGAGCATTTCGTCGAACAGGTCGAGGGCGCGCATCGTGAGCCCACCCCGCGCGGCGCCGGCGATGAGGGAGTTGTAGGTGACGGCGTCGGGGCTCACCCCGGCCTCCCGCATCCGGCGCAGGACGGCGAACCCCGCGTCGAGGCCCGAGGCGCGGCAGTGCGCGGCGAGGAGGGTGTTGTAGGTGACGACGTCGGGGGGCATGCCGAGGCGGATGGCGTCGACGAGGACGGACTCCGCCCGGGCGAGGCCGCCGCCGCGGCAGAGCGCCGCGAGGCAGACGTTCATGAGCCGCGTGGACAGCCGCGTCCGCGCCCAGGTCATTGCTCCTTCCCCGCCTCCTCCTCACCGCGAGACTATCTTCCGGTTCCGGGCTCGCTTCGACTCCCATGCAGCTCGCTCGCTGTCCAGAACAACTTGCCGAGTTCACGACGAGCAAGGCCGGCGCCTTGTTATGGGGTAAGCGCTCGGCTGCAGGAGGCGGCGAGAGGTTGGTGGCGGCGACGGCGCCGCCGGGTGGTCGGGGCTCGGGAGGGAGTTGGGAGTTCGCACTTCGCAGACCGCGCAGAGAGGGACAGACTAGAAAGAGAGGCCAGGTGGGCCATGCATGTCATAGGCCGCACGGACAGACAAGTAGGGTTCATTTCGCCTGACCCAACAGTCAGTGAGCACGAATCTAAAAAAAACAGTCAGTGAGCATAATAGGAGAAGGAATTAATTCAGCACATGGATGGGATTTCCTTCAAATACTCCCTCCGTTTCAATAATGCTAGATACATCCATTTGAGCAACAAGAGGGAGTACTATTGTACAAAAGATTCACAACAAATTGGGAAGGAAAAAATCATTCTCATTCACACTAATGCTTTGGGCTATGTTACAAAAAGAAAGAAACATCATTCGTCATACAACAATATCTGTGAATACAATGAACAAATCAGGAAATCGGCAGGATCATACATACTCAAAAATCAAAATGCCGGCCGGCTGAAAAGGAAATCAAAATGTGGCTTGAGGAAAAGGCGGATACAAAATTATACATGTGGAGCGCAAACCAGCCAGGCTCACTGTGCCTTCATGGCTTTCTCCTTGCAGAGCTGGTGCCACTCCTGGAGCACGGCTGCTTGGAGCGCACGGTGCTCGGCTTCCTCCGCCGTGAGCTTGGAGAGCGTCGAGGGGCCCTTGGGGTTCCCAAACCCGTCCAACTCCTCGCTCTGCTTCCTCTCCTCTTCCTCTTCTTGCTCGGTTTTCGCGGGCGGCATCTTAGGTTTGGCTGCCTTGAGTAGCGCTATCCTCTCCATGGATATCTTCAGCCGCTCCGCAGCTGTGCTCTTCACCTCTTCTTCGGGCATGTATTCAACAGCGCCGTCCGTGATGTCATCCAGCCAGCCCTGGAGGTCCGACTCGATCTCTCTTGTGATCGATTCATCAGATGCACGCACGACAAACTTGCATATCATCGTGGTTGTCTCGTCACCCAGATCAACATTTCGGCTGACCTCACTTGCACCGAAGATCATCATGCCCACAAACCCACCAAACCATGTCTTTGCAGCGTAACACAACTGTGGAAGATACATGTGTTATATAACCTTACAAAAATGTTAACTCTGCACAGGATAGAATCAAGACCATGTCATGACACCGTCCAAGTGACTATCAGTCAAATGCTTACCTGGAACCCAGCAACTGTTCGGATGAAATGAGAGCAGACTTGATGGAAGGGCTTGGAATAAATTGACTTCAACCCACTGAGGAAAGGAGAGCTATCATACTGCTGAGCTGCAGTGGCCTTGAAACCACTACCTTCATATGTGTATGTGCCAGTGCACTCAACCATGGCTGGCAAGCTTGGCCATAGACGAAAATACTCAACTGGAGAGCATTCATATGGCAAGAGAAGTTCAGCGAGAGGGATCTTGTAGGGCTGACACCGTAAAACAACCGGCTCCCCAAGCTCTGGCCGGAGCGCGCGCTTCTGCCTCGTCATTTGTGAGTCCTCTTCTGCATAATCTCCTTCATAGTCTGCCGATCCTCCACTTCCGTAGAATGGGTAATACAGGACTTGAACCCAGAGAGAGCATCTCTCAAAATGTGAAACTCCCACAGTGACACTACTTTGGACTGGATCCTGCAGAATTGACAAAGCATTTTCCAAATAAATTAGATGCAAATATGGATTAGCCAATCTGAGATGGCAGTACTTACCCAATGATATAATATTTATTATCACTATTCTATTTTTATCAATTGCCCACATTTTTTAGCGCAACTCGTCTGGAAACAAGATACTGTCACTAGTAGTTAAGTTACTTGAAAGCCGCCGCGATGCTAGATGGCTCTTTGAAAATCACTTATATTTAACATCATGACCATGATAGTGGATTTCATAGTCTCCACTACCACATTATATCTGGTGTGCAATATAATGTGAGCTCAACTGGCTAGACAGGTATACACTACATTGGGAGGTATGGTCTTTAAATTTTGCCAGGAAATAGATTGAGAAGTTCATTAGCTAAGGAAGAAAATCTTTCACTGTAAACTATATTCAAATAATATATTTGCAAACAAACTGTAATATATTTGCAAACAAACTGCAGCCCTACATTTGTCTGCCCATTCTGACTAATGACAAATTCTTAAATATTTTAATTATTGATACATAATTGAAATTAAACTGCACAGTAAAAGCATATGTAAACAAGGCATTTCAAGAGTCATGGAGGCACCTGGGAAACAAGATTACGCAGGTGGCGAACAGTGCGGGAAAATCCATCCATATAATACAATGCTCCAGAGAGCCCAACTCGGATATCCACCCTGTTGAGTTCCAGCTCAGTCAAATTCAAAATCTGCAAAAGTGTACATTAGTTAAAAAGGGCAATCATAGAGCTCAAAGTCAAACAATACTATGGCTTACAGCAAAACTATATGTCAGACACAAATATTTGTTTTAATTTCTCACCATTTTACCGGGTGGCAAAGTGCACATAAACTATGCAGGAGCAATAAATAAAGATATAAAGTTCCTAACCTAACCAGTGATCAACAGTAACCATGACACAGCAGTACAGATCAATAGAAATTATGTTAAATGTACACGGAAAAGATCATCATCTCATCGATCAGGTTATACCTTTAAATGTAGGGTGATTCTGCCATCAGTTGGATCCGCCAAATGATATGCTTCGATGTAACATGGATCGCTGCTGCCAGTCAGAGTGCATGCTTTTGGAAGATCTTTGTGCAAAGCACCGATACCCTTAGTCTGTAGGAGAGTTAACTGGCTGGGATTGGGCCTCCAAAGCTCCTGAATGGCCTTATGAACTAATCCCTCCAATTTCCTATCTTGTGCAGCAGCAGCCTCAGAAAACTGAACTGTAAGTTTGTGGTGGCTAAAAGGGTAATCTCCTGTAGCATCGCCTACACCAACCCACCTGGATGAAATATTGGAAAGTCAAACATGGCAGTGATTTTTTCCCAAATGCATGTTCGTAGAGAACTTCTTTTTTTTTAGATATAGAACTTTTGCAAATAGTGCAGCCTGATGTAAAATAATTAGTTTGAAGATGCAACCCTCACCTGTTATCTGGATGATTCGTCACATACTTTATTATCTGCAAGACATAACGTGACTGATGCTTGGTGACAGAATCAGCTGAAGTACTTGACCTGAACTCCTCCAATTCTTTACTGAGGAGCTGGCCGGCTCTTGCATTTCTGGTTCCCAAACGCTGAGCGCATATGAGGACAGCCTGCACATCTTGTATCCTATTTGATGTAGTGGCAGAGGAATCGGTGTTGAATAAAGTCTTATGCATGTTAGATATGATAATATTCAGAGGATCCTCTGGGTCGTCAGCTAAAAGAGGATCAAGACCTTCAAGATCAAAGTGTTCAGAAATTGCCCATATCAGCCGTGATGATATTCTTGAGGTATGAACCTGAAACGTTTATTCACATTTAAATATAGGCCAATCTAGATTAAGAAAAGGTACTGAAAAACTGAAGAACTAATGACACCATTGGTCTTTTACCAATCATCTCTAACTAGAAAACAATCTTTACAGAATGACACAGTTTAAGCTACAACTATTTGCAGTGGAAGATTAACAAAAGTACAAGGAAACCAAATAAAGGCAGGCATAGTGAGATCCAAACGCAGGTAAAGCCTTGACAAAGTAGATGCAAGAAGAATGGAGACGGAGTATATTAGTACCAATCTTCAAGAACAAGGGGGAAGTTCAGAGTTGTACTAATTACCGTGGAATTAGCTGATGAGCCATACAATGAGGCTATGGGAGAGAGTCATTGAGCACCGCTTAAGAAGAACGACAAGCATGACCAAAAATCAGTTTGGTTTCATGCCTAGGAGGTCGACCATGGAAGCCATTTTCTTGGTACGACAACTTATGGAGAGATACAGGGAGCAAAAGAAGGACTTGCATATGGTATTCACTGACTTGGAGAAGGCCTATGATAAGATACCGCGAAATATCTCATGTGGTGGGCCTTGGAGAAACACAAAATCCCAGCAAAGTACACTACCCTCATCAAGGACATGTACGATAATGTTGTGACAAGTGTTCGAACAAGTGATGTCGACACTGATGACTTCCCGATTAAGATAGGACTGCATCAAGGGTCAGCTTTGAGCCCTTATCTTTTTGCCTTGGTGATGGATGAGGTCATAGGGATATACAAGGAGATATCCCATGGTGTATGCTCTTTGCGGATGATGTGGTGCTAGTTGACGATAGTCGGACAAGGGTCAATAGGAAGTTAGAGTTATGGAGACAAACCTTGGAATCGAAAGGTTTGAGGCTTAATGGAACTAAAACCGAGTACATGAGGTGCGGTTTCAGTACTACTAGGCACGAGGAGGTTAACCTTGATGGGCAGGTGGTGCCTCAAAAGGACACCTTTCGATATTTGGGGTCAATGCTGCAGAAGGATATGGGGGTATTGATGAAGATGTGAACCATCGCATCAAAGTCGGACGGATGAAGTGGCGCCAAGCGTCTGGCATTCTCTATGACACGAGAGTGCCACAAAAGCTAAAAGGCAAGTTCTACAGGGCGGCGGTTCGACCCGCAATGTTGTATGGCCCTGAGTGTTGGCCGGCTAAAAGGTGACATGTTCAACAGTTAGGTGTAGCGGAGATGCGCATGTTGAGATGGATGTGTGGCAACACGAGGAAGGATCGAGTCCGAAATGATGATATACGAGATAGAATTGGGGTAGCACCAATTGAAGAGAAGCTTGTCCAACATTATCTGAGATGGTTTGGGCATATTCACGTAGGCCTCCAGAAGCTCCAGTGCACAGCGGACGGCTAAAGCATGTGGATAATGTCAAGAGAGGTCGGGGTAGACCGAACTTGACATGGGAGGAGTCCATAAAGAGAGATATGAAGGATTGGAATATAATCAAAGAACTAGCTATGGACAGGGGTGCGTGGACGCTTGCTATCCATGTGCATGAGTTGGTCGCGAGATCTTATGGGTTTCACCTCTAGCCTACCCCAATTTGTTTGGGACTAAAGGCTTTGTTGTTGTTGTTGTTGTTGTTGTTGTAGAACTAGGTGGGATCAAGCAAAACAAAAATATTATGACAGTGCATTAGTAATGAATAAAAATCGCACCTTACGTCCAACAGGTATTTAAATGCATAGCAAAATGTGTTTGAATATCAAAATAATGAGATGAATCATAACCTCACGAAGATCCCTAATAAGCTGTAGCTGCAAATTTCGAAGTCTAGTCTCATTTAGAATCTGATCTTGAGATGCACCAGTCTTAATTGTCTTCACGCCGCCTCTGGTATCATATATATGACAAAGCCGTACAAGCAACTTCAGATAGCAATCAATTGCATAGGTACGCCCGTCACAGTCCCAGAGAACACAAGGCCTGCAAACTTCCACCACATCCAAAGCAGGTTCTGTCCAATTCAACGCACCGTAACCAGTACCATAGGCTAATGCCCCTATAACTCTGCTCTCTGTCCCAGAATTCTTCTGCTCAGGTAGTGGAAGAGATAGCTGGAAACAACTTTCAACCAGTGAGGCAACTAACTCTTCTCTGAACAAGCTTTTGCTTGTTATGCTGTTTAGATCATCCTTCACCCTTGCATCCTCAAAAAGAGATATCACATCTGTTCCTGGAACGGGCTTCTGACCTCTTCGAACGCTCTCCTTTGCAAAAAGATCAACACAAAGAGCAGTTCGGCAAATGCATGCCAATGCATGCATTCGATCTGATTCTGCTCTCAAATTTTTCAGCATCTGAAGCAGCCTTTTGAACAGAGACACCTGCATCACAGAACATGCTTTTGTAAATCCATCTTGAACACAAATTTTCACAACACTTGTTCACTAAACTGAAATTGTCCTTCTCGCTATCTTCTTCACAAGTTATGCATGGAAGGAAGAAACTGATAAAGATCTGCTAGCACATGATATGGCACGACTCCAATCAATGAATTATTTCACATTTTTTAGAAACCCGGAAAAGAGAGAAAAATAAAAGGAGAATATGGGGTGCATGGGCAACTAGTTGCCAGAATTACCTTCCGAACATAGTAGCAGTAATTGGTAAGCAAGATACCAATAGTATACTACTAAACCAGGTATCAAAGTAATGATGCATAACCATTTTACATTGGCTCCACAAGTTATAAATATTGATGATTATATGCTAAGTAATGTGAAATTTTCGAAGGCCCAATACTTCTGTGCTTAATTTGAATAGATAGCGAGCAAACAACATTGTATCACCTATTGGCTTAAGTTGCTTAGTAACTGATCTATCATGACAATACAAATCAATGCTCAGCCGATAAGGTTAATAGATAAGCTTTGATTTGTGATATAGTACCTATAACGATGTAAATCATACGGTAATGCTCATGCTAAGGAATACACCAACAAACTAGTTGTGATACACTAGCCAGATTTTTACTTGCCATATTTAAGAGATGACATCAAATAATGAAAATTATAATTAATAAATGTATATAGTAGCATTTCAGAAAATCATTTTTTGTCCAAATAAACAGACAACAATCAGCACATGGAAATACAACCTACTAAAGTGCCATTTGATTCACCAGTCTAACAACAACAAATAGATTTTTGGATTTTTGGCATAAGACTGAAATAGGAGATCACATGGGATAAGACTAAATTTGTTTGGTTCGAACAATAATGTCAGCTTTGAGATCAGAATTTATGAATCTAATAACTAATAACTCTTCATGGTGCTGACAATTAAGATTTATAACACTGTATTAGTTTAAAAACTTGGGATCAGTATGGTCTCAGGCTTGTGCACTAAAAACAACACTAACTAGTAGAATTGTGCGTTACTGGAATTACTTGACAGACTCCAGTTAAAACAATAGCTTATGTGGCTGAAAGGCTAGCCATGTTTCAACTAAAATTTATATCATGTCTAATTGATGACAGATAAATCCATGTATTGGCACGAAAACAGAAGCCTCCTAAATTACTTCATACAAACTTGGCTCACTACTAATGCCCACTTCCAGGATCTTTAATCCAATAGTTGCCTCGTTGACATTGGGCACAAGACACAACCAGTAGATTTACCGCAGGAAATTAGCAAACAACAATCATTGAGTTGATAAGACTAAGGTGAATTGCTCTTATAAGTCGATTGATTTAGTACCTGCATTCCAAGATCCAGCAAATGGAGATTCGCCACAACAGCTCTGACAATCGTCTCCCTCATTGATGAGAACTCTTGTCGGTCCCATAGTGTTAGGATTGCAATAATGGCAGCTGAAGCCCACTCCGGCTTGCCTCCGGGCGCATCTGCGAGCGAGAGCATATTGATCCCCACCTCAAACACCAGTGGCGGTTCCAGCGAGCTAAGGAAAGGAAGCAAGTGCGAGACAATGTCAGACACCCCCACCAACTTCTCCGCACTCGCCTCCACGGTATCGGCTATTGTAGTGTCTCCTGGTTTGGCAATCTGCCGCAGCGTGTTCACCGCGCCAGATGCAACCATTTTTGCTGCATGCACAAGAGGGTACACAGTGACCCGGAAGCTCTCGACGGGCATCACCATGGATCTAGCAATGAGCATGTTTCGCCGGGACCAGATGAAGTCGATGGCGTCAGCTGCCCACTGGGCACGCACAGCGAGCGCACCCTCTCCATCAACGAGCTTGTCTCCAGCAAGCCGGCTCATACGCCGCGCGTCCAGCTCCTGGAACAGCCGAGCAAGTGCCTCGAACGCTGCGGCTGCCACTGCGTCTGCAGAGTCCAAGGCCAGCTCGGTCAGACGGCCCCACCAGGTGGTGGCGTGCCCCATGAGCGAGGGGTTGGTGGAGCACATAAGCGCGAGGTCATCGCGCGGGAGGAGGGAGGAGAGGGAGGTAACGGCGGCAAGGCGGAGTGACTCGGCGGGCGAGGAGAGAGCGGCAGCGATGTCGGCGTGCGCGGAGGAGAGGAGGGTTGGGAGTAGGTGCGAGGGGAGCGACGGGAATGAGGCGATGGAGGAGGCGGCGACGTCGGGATCCGGGAAGGAGAGGTCGGAGCGTAGGGAGGAGAGCAGGAGCGGGTCGAGGAGATCGGGGGGCAGGGGCAGCGCACGGAGAAGGTCGAGCGCGAGGCGCTTGCAGACGGCGGAGGAGGGTGCCGCTAGGATCTCGGTGGCGGCGGTGCGGGCTAGCGCGGAGACGTCGCGGCCGGCGGCGCACTGCTGCAGGGCCTGCAAGAGCGCTGACGACTGCCGGAGAGCGTCCGAGGAGCGGAGATCGGTGGTGATCTGCGCGATGAGGAGGTCCATCGCGCCGCTGCCGCAATTGGGCTCCGGCGATCGCCGGAGCTGGGGAAGAGTAGCGGTGGTCGTGCAGATCTGGGAGGGAGGGGGAGAGTGCCAGAGCACGAGAAGGGTCGGTGTTTTGTTTGAGTGCGGTGCTGCGGCCGGTGGTAACGGGTCGGATCTTTTCTTTCTTTTTTGAACATGGGTCGGATCTTTTCGTCCAGCGACTTCGGTGACTCAGCGAGGACTGATCAGTAGGGCCCGGAGCGACTGTAATTGTCGGGGTTCGATCTAGACCGTCTATGTTGAAGTTTTGGCTAAAGTGAGTATATCTCACGGTGCAGGCCGCTCCATTTTTTTCGCGAATAAAGCAAAAGGCTTGCGTATCATTGCATTGATAGGTAAAGAGTGGCAATAGTACAAGAGTTTGAAATGGAAATGGCTGTCGGGCCTGTACACATGGATGGCATGCAACGGCAACCTTGGCGCAGAGAGGAGGTGGGTGCGCGAGCCACAAGGCCTAGACTACGGCTCTGGCATGATCAGCGCGAGACCAGCGGCGCCCGCGCGAGCCCAGAGTCTTGCCTCATCTCGATTGTCATTGACGGCGCGGCTGGCAGAGGGGTGGTGGCCGTCGAAGATGCATCTGTTCCGGTGCTTCCAGAGCCACCAGGCTGTGAGGATGGCAATGGAGGCGAGCCCACGGCGAAGACAGCGCGGGGTAGCGGCAAGGGCGGAGTGGAGCCAGGTGGGGAAGTCGTCGTCCTGTCCCGGTGGCGCGACAGTGGAGCGGCACCAAGATAGGATATCGTGCCAAACTTGGCGGGAGAAGGAGCAGCCGGAGAGGAGGTGCTGCATCGTCTCGGGTTCCTGGTCACACAGGGGGCATGTAGGCTCGTGAGGTAAGTTGTGGCGCGCGAGGCGGTCGGCGGTCCAGCATCTGCCGAGGAGTGCGAGCCAGACAAAGAATTTGATGTGTAGTGGCGCCCACGGCCGCCAAGTGATGCGCCAGTTGGGGTCCTCCGTGGAGCCGAGGAATAGAGACTGGTAGCTAGAGCGCGCAGTGTAGCAGCCGAAGGCGGACCAGCGCCAGGTTATTCTGTCCGGTGTGTCGTCGAGGGCGAAGTGTTGAAGGCGTCACCAGAGGGAGACGTACTGGATGGTCATCTCGGTGCCGAGCGCGCCCTGAATGTCCGCGATCCAGGCGCGGTTATGCAGGGCGTCGCGCACCGAGAGCGTCTTGTGCCGTCGCTTGGGGACCTTGGCGTAGACGAGAGGCGCGACCTCGGTGATGGAGCGGCCGTCGAGCCAGTGGTCCTCCCAGAACCTGCACTTGCGCCCATCGCCGACCGTCCAGGAGGTGGAGGCCCGGAAGAAGGCTTGGACGCCAGGGCAGTGTGGGATGTGCAGGTGCTGCCAAGGGTGGGAGGGGTCTGTTCTTTGGAGCCAAAGCCAGCGGGTACGGAGAGAGGTGCCCACGCGCTGGAGATCGGGGATGCCCAGGCCACCCAGAGCGATGGGTCGGCATGCGCGACGCGAACTGACAAGGCAGTGGCCGCCGCTCACATCCTTGCGCCCATACCACAGGAAACTACGGAGCAGGCGGTTGATTTGCTTGAGGACGGGGGGGTTGATCGCGAGCGCGATGAGGGTGTGCACGGGCATTGCAGATAGGACGTGGTGGCAAAGGGCGAGTCGGTCACCACGCGACATCATGGATTCCCACCATGGCAAGAGCCGACACTCGAGCTTGTCGAGGAAAGGTTGAAGGGTTGTAACGCTGACCTTCCGGATGGACAGGGGCAAGCCGAGGTAAGAGGTGGGGAAGTCCTTAACCGGGCACGCGAAGCTGGACGCGATCACGGTGCATTCGTTGGCCGTGCACTGGATGGGGGATGTCGCACACTTGGAGTAGTTAGTGCGCATCCCAGAGGCGTCGCCAAAGACGCTGAGAATGCGGCGGACGGAGGAGAGGTCTTGCGCGTCCGGATGGCAGAAGATTACCACGTCGTCGGCATAAAGGGAGATGCTCGATGCCATGTTGTTGGGGAACGTAGTAATTTCAAAAAAAATCCTACGCACACGCAAGATCATGGTGATGGCATAGCAACGAGAGGGGAGAGTGTTGTCCACGTACCCTCGTAGACCGTAAGCGGAAGCGTTAGCACAACGCGGTTGATGTAGTCGTACGTCTTCACGATCCGACCGATCCAAGTACCGAAAGTACGGCACCTCCGAGTTCAGCACACGTTCAGCTCGATGACGATCCCCGGGCTCCGATCCAGCAAAGCTTCGGGGATGAGTTCCGTCAGCACGACGGCGTGGTGACTATGATGATGTTCTACCGGCGCAGGGCTTCGCCTAAACTCCGCGACGATATGCCCGAGGTGGAATATGGTGGAGGGGGCACCGCACACGGCTAAGGAACGATCCGTAGATCAACTTGTGTGTCTATGGGGTGCCCCCCGCCCCCGTATATAAAGGAGGGAGGGGGGAGGCCGGCCGGCCCTTGTGGGCGCGCCAAGGAGGAGGAGTCCTCCTCCTAGTAGGAGTAGGACTCCTCCTTATGACTCCTCCTTTCCTACTCCTGCTAGGAGGGGAAAGGAAGGGGGAGAGGGGGGAAGGAAAGAGGGGGGCGCCGCCCCCCCCCCCTCCTAGTCCAATTCGGACCAGAGGGAGAGGGGGCGCGCGGCCCTCCCTGGCCGCCCCTCTCTCTTCCCACCAAGGCCCATGTGGCCCATTAACTCTCCGGGGGGGTTCCGGTAACCCTCCGGCACTCCGGTTTTCTCCGAAATCACCCGGAACACTTCCGGTGTCCGAATATAGTCGTCCAATATATCAATCTTTATGTCTCGACCATTTTGAGACTCCTCGTCATGTCCGTGATCACATCCGGGACTCCGAACAAACTTCGGTACATCAAAACTTATAACTCATAATAAAACTGTCATCGTAACTTTAAGCGTGCGGACCCTACGGGTTCAAGAACTATGTAGACATGACCTAGAACTATTCTCGGTCAATAACCAATAGCGGAACCTGGATGCCCATATTGGTTCCTACATATTCTACAAAGATCTTTATCGGTCAAACCACATAACAACATACGTTGTTCCCTTTGTCATCGGTATGTTACTTGCCCGAGATTCGATCGTCGGTATCTAATACCTAGTTCAATCTCGTTACCGGCAAGTCTCTTTACTCATTACGTAATACATCATCTCGTAACTAACTCATTAGCTACATTGCTTGCAAGGCTTATAGTGATGTGCATTACCGAGAGGGCCCAGAGATACCTCTCCGACAATCGGAGTGACAAAACCTAATCTCGAAATACGCCAACCCAACATGTACCTTCGGAGACACCTGTAGTACTCCTTTATAATCACCCAGTTACGTTGTGACGTTTGGTAGTACCCAAAGTGTTCCTCCGGTAAACGGGGGTTGCATAATCTCATAGTTACGGGAACATGTATAAGTCATGAAGAAAGCAATAGCAATATACTAAACGATCAAGTGCTAGGCTAACGGAATGGGTCATGTCAATCACATCATTCTCCTAATGATGTGATCCCGTTAATCAAATGACAACACATGTCTATGGTTAGGAAACATAACCATCTTTGATTAATGAGCTAGTCAAGTAGAGGCATACTAGTGACTATATGTTTGTCTATGTATTCACACATGTATTATGTTTCCGGTTAATACAATTCTAGCATGAATAATAAACATTTATCATGATATGAGGAAATAAATAATAACTTTATTATTGCCTCTAGGGCATATTTCCTTCAGTTTCCCACTTGCACTAGAGTCAATAATCTAGATTACATAGTAATGATTTTAACACCCATGGAGTCTTGGTGTTGATCATGTTTTGCTTGTGAGAGAGGCTTAGTCAATGGGTCTGCAATATTCAGATCCGTATGTATCTTGCTAATCTCTATGTCTCCCACTTGGACTTCGTCCCGGATGGAATTGAAGCGTCTCTTGATGTGCTTGGTCCTCTTGTGAAATCTAGATTCCTTTGCCAAGGCAATTGCACCAGTATTATCACAGAAGATCTTCATTGGTCTCGATGCACTAGGTATGACACCTAGATCGGTAATGAACTCCTTCATCCAGACTCCTTCATTTGCTGCTTCCGAAGCAGCTATGTACTCCGCTTCACATGTAGATCCCGCCACGATGCTTTGTTTAGAACTGCACCAACATACAGCTCCACCGTTTAATAAAAACACGTATCCGGTTTGCGATTTAGAATCGTCCGGATCAGTGTCAAAGCTTGCATCAACGTAACCATTTACGACCAGCTCTTTGTCACCTCCATATACGAGAGACATATCCTTAGTCCTTTTCAGGTATTTTAGGATGTTCTTGACCACTGTCCAGTGATCCACTCCTGGATTACTTTGGTACCTTCCTGCCAAGCTTATTGCTAAGCATACATCAGGTCTGGTACACAGCATTGCATACATGATAGAGCCTATGGCTGAAGCATAGGGAACATCTTTCATTTTCTCTCTATCTTCTGTAGTGGTCGGGCATTGAGTCTGACTCAACTTCACACCTTGTAACACGGGTAAGAACCCTTTCTTTGCCTGATCCATTTTGAACTTTTTCAAAATTTTATCAAGGTATGTGCTTTGTGAAAGTCCTATTAAGCGTCTTGATCTATCTCTATAAATCTTGATGCCCAATATGTAAGCAGCTTCACCGAGGTCTTTCATTGAAATTTTTTATTCAAGTATCCTTTTATGCTATCCAGAAATTCTATATCATTTCCAATTAATAATATGCCATCTACATATAATATTAGAAATGCTACAGAGCTCCCACTCACTTTCTTGTAAATACAGGCTTCTCCAAAAGTCTGTATAAATCCATATGCTTTGATCACACTATCAAAGCGTTTATTCCAACTCCGAGATGCTTGCACCAGTCCATAAATGGATCGCTGGAGTTTGCACACTTTGTTAGCACTTTTTGGATCAACAAAACCTTCTGGCTGCATCATATAC